GCACAGTATCGTGACCTCAATTAATATAATGATATTAATTTTTGTCTCTATAAATTCAATGAGCTATCATTTTTATTTTTAGGCCGAATTCTAAAAAAAGATAAGGTTCTCAATTCAACCGTATGTTTTTTGTATATACGCGATATCTTCGTTAATTGGAATGCGATTTTAATAATTTATTTTTTATTAAGTAGGTCATATTTTTGGGGTGTTCTTATAAAAATATGGACGTAATATTTCTCCTTAACGGTGGCGAAATAGGGAATGAAGTTGTAATGTAACTATTCAGATGAATTGTAATATTTATTAGTTATTGTGTCCAAGCGTAAAAAATAACTTTTAATAAAAAGTTAGAGCCGGCTTCAAATAACTAAAAAAAATTTTTTCATAGTGTATAGAATAAATAATGCTTCGACATCAGAATGTGATATTTTGTTATTTTGAATTTATATTGTTTTTTTGAATTCGTCCCTTATTTTTTACTGAAAGCTTATATATTGCTATATTTAATTCTGTATAATATGTTTAAAATTTGCTAGCTGACCCCAAACTACGTACAAAATGGCAGCAAAAGCGCGATCCTGTAAGCGAGACTAGGGATAGGGGACCGATGCGACGTAACAGCGTGTGTTAGCATGGGTAAGGACGGCGCGTTTGATATTCGGATACCTTTATTACGCATTGTGTACGAATGACAGGAGTACAGAACTGCACGAAACATAGCTTTACTTTTACACTAAGCTGATAGTATTTCACAAAATGTTACAATTACTTTCTTACACCGAAATTTATTAAAGTCAAAATATATTTTAAAGTTGGGCCTGCAAATTTGCTTACGTATGTACTTACTAAATAATAACAATGGAGTAAAACAGAGTTTTTAAAGGTTTTAGTTTAAGAAAAATATATTAACATTATAAATATTTTAATATTGGTAATATATTTTTATATGTTTCATTTCCTTATAATTTTAAAAAGGTTTAAATTGTTTATATTTTTTCTTTATATATTTGGCAATCTTCTTCAAAAAATTTACAAAGTATCGTTATAACTTTTAACACATGAAACCCTAAGGTTTTGCATCACCCAACTTATTATCTTTTTTATTTAAACAAATAATGAAATGAGTTAAGGAATTTAAGTATGGAAAGATAACTACTTAAATAAAATAAAATATGGCATGAATTATAGGTCTAAAAGAGAAAGTAAATGATAGTAAATGATGATAAACGTTTCATCCGTCAATCAATATGTTACGCGTATTACCGAACATAGACTAGATAGGTATGTCTAGTAATCCCATTGTTATTTTTACCTTTTTACGAGGACTATTATTTTTTTATATAAAAAAACGTAACCTCCATACTAGGATTTTCTCTTGTATCGAGGAGGTAGTTTACAAGCATAAATTGCACATGGCCAAACATCTAGACCCGGAACAATTCTTTTTAGTCCATCCGAACACTTGTTTCGTGCGGGATTCGAACCCGCGGCCCCCAGATCGGAGCCGTATTGGGTTCTATATTGAAACAGAATAAATATTACAATAATATTTACTTTTAAATACATTATCTATGACAAAATTTTTATTTATTCCATTATTCTTAGAAGAGAATGCCTTGATTTTGAATTTTAATGATTAAGTACAACCTTTATAATAAAGAAAAAACAAATTTAAAAAAATATCTTTTAATATTTGTCTTCTTATTATAATGAAGAATTAATTCATTCAAAATTTTGGGCTCAATAATGTATTCGAAAAAATAAATTATAAAATTGCATAACAAAAATAGAGTGTGGCATTCCGGCTAAGCGCTCTTCGTGAACTGCATGGGTACAACCCGAATTCGATATCAACGGATATCAAAGAAATTGTTAATTGTAATTTGAGGTGCTAATATAAAAAAAATTCTCGGCATTGGAGGTAAACTGTCAAGAAATCTGTATCTGTATCTCTTAGAAACGTGAAGTCTGAAGTCCAACACACGCAGTAGGGCACGACGACGAACTGCTCTATATCCCTCTTAAAAATGAAAGGTCTGTTGCAAGCAGCGGGTCTTATACTGACTTTAACTTTATACAATCGTTAGTAGAAGATATTTTTACACACTTATCAGTTTCGATAGCATTGTAGTCACATGCTTTAACGTTATAGAGCTACGTTACTGCTGCAGCACAAACCGGGGAAGAACCGCGTTCGCACAAAACACCAGTGTGAAATAGCAACAAAACATGTATGGTAACTAACGAAAATCGAGGATCTTTTTAAAATGATAGTCAAGAATGTATGATGCAGAAGTGGAAGAGTGGGCCAGAGTCGCCCTAAGCGTTTATCGACAAAGTCGGCGAAATATTAAAGACGGGCTAAATACAGAGTGCCCTTAACCACCCACTGTCTGGTTGATCTAGTGGTCGCAAGCCCGACAGCTGACTGTGAGGTCCCGTGTTGAATTCCGGGTCGGGACATAAATCAATTATTGGGTTCTCTTTCGAGAAATATTGAGTAGCAGCTCGGAGTCAGGAAAATTAGCGGTGTCTCACCTCCGTGCCTCAAAAAGCACGTAAAAGCTGTTCGTCCTGTGCCCGATCTCTCTACGGTGGTGTCGGATTGTCGTCTTTTCAGACTGTGGAAAAATAGAATACATAGAGCACCCTGCGTTAGTCATTTCCGCAGGACCGGATAATAGTACATACTTGAGCACTGGCTATAACCCTTGCCTACGCAAATGGCTAATATCCGTTGAGCATGATTATCGTGATCGAAATTAGGTCTGGATGACATTATTATTATTATTATTACTCTTAACCAACGAGCATATATACGAAATGCATGGATGCGAAAGAAATAAGAGAGTTGTATTAGGATCATGACAAATGAAAGTCCGTAGTCTCTTCCTCTCACTGGGTGACATGCGTGAAAGTTTATACGAGTATGTAGATGTGAGAATCTATGACCCACATTTCATTTGTCACCCTCATTTATTCAAAAATGTTTTTTTTTTATATTAAATGCCTGTTTAATATTAGAATGAAATTTGAACTCATTCAAAAAATCGATACAACGTAGCTCAACAAAAAGTTTTTGGAATAATAGAATGGCATGGGTCGGACTTATGTATACCAACTGGTATTTTGTTTGACAAATAACTTGAATTATCATCATTATTAAATTCAATATTTTACCGTATAATATCCTTATTTTGGGAAGTTTTGCTGCTTAGTTACCATTTAACATAGACAAGTAAAAATGTGTGCATAACCTTTGTGTCTCTTCAACTACGAGAAACAGGAAATCAATTTCAAGACAGAAAGATAGAATTTTTTTTTTATAAAACTTTATATCATGACATATGAAAACATGAATTGGACCAGTTGTAGCTTAACTGTATTTTAGTCAAAGTACGGCAGCATAGAAGAGCTTGGTTTAATGATGGTACAAAATGAATAAATTTCAGACAGAATTGCGACGTGTATTGAAAAGTGTGTTCTAAGATTATAGCAAGCAGAAATCGCAATGGCTGAACCCAGGTCAAATGCAGTAAAGGGCATTGACCCTAAAGCCCAAAGCCTCTCCCATAAGAAAATAACTGGATAGGATGGTAACTGTTACGTGGTTACTTAATAGAGTATAATTCAAAATAGCTTTTTGAGATCCGTCATGTCAGCAATTTATTGTGAAGAAATTCGCACAATTATTGTGAAACTCTCAGAAAAATAACTTTGACTCGTCAGTCGATCTCCACCATTATTGATCCATGATAAGCAGCAAGCAAGACCTCACAAACTTCGACAAACCGTTTTAACATTACAACACCTGCAGTAAGAAACCTCTGTACTCACCAGACCTAGTCTCAACCGATTATCACTTTTACTTAATTTGGACTATTTCCTGCAAGGAAAAATATTTGTTCTCAGGGACGGCTCAAAATGAGTTTGTATGTGAGTCCAGATCTCCAAAACTCTATCGCAAAGACATAAATAATCTTTCCTCGAGATGACAAAATGTACAAAATGAGCTTTAAATAAATATATTTTTCTTAGATTAAACAGTGCTCGAATTTTTTATATTAAACTGTAGTGTCATATGTACTTTAATCCCTAATATTAATAACAGTAACTAAAATGAAGATTGCGTTGTATTATATTATTGTATAAATTGATTGTTACAAAGATAAAAATACTATTTGATAGTGGATTTAGTGTAATAGCTTTCCATTTACCTTGAAAAATAATATTTTAAGAAAATCTACTAGATTATTTAATTTACCACGTATCATATAAAAGTGAAGTAAACTTTTAAGAAAAGGGCTGGCGGGACGCAAGGCGCTTGCCCGTATTTCCGCCCTCCTTATTTGACATTCACCCGACTTTCTTAAGTTGCCCGGAAAAAGTTTCAAATACTTCCCAATGTCACGGACCTTCCTTGCAAACTTCGCCGCAGTATTTAAAATTGTGTGATTTTATAAATACTTTAGTATGTTCGTTTTACTTTGCTTTCACGGACTTTTCAATTAACTTGCAAACATAATCGGAATATTTAAATGTTGTAACACTGTGTGATTTTGTAAACGTTTTTAGTTGTTCTTTTTGTTTTGGCTATTTTATTTTGACTGCGGCAACAACTTTTATAATACAGATTATTGAAGTGGGAATACTTTAAGAGTTAGTAACATTTTAAGAGTCATATTTTACTTTACGTGTCTAACACCAATTATTTTATTTTTGCTTAACTTTTTAATTAATATGTTGTTTATTTTAAAGAATAGCTATTGTAATTATTTGATGTGTAATAAAAACTAGTAAATAATAAATGTCTCTAATATACAGAGTTCAAAATAATAAAGAGTTTCTACGAGTATGATAGCTTGATGAATGATATTTCTAACATCCGTTCTATGTATATTTTTAATCAGATCATTAGTTGAAAGTTTTTATGAGGATAGCTAGGATTATTTGTTTTGTTCTGTAGGAATACTCAATGTGTAACAATCACTGCACCTTCAGCACTCACCGCGACCACTGCGGCCGACGAATCTCAGGTCATTGAACTTTGCTACTTGGTTCTTCATCACCGCCGAGCTGTTTCGGAGCTCTGCACAGCAGTTCTCGTCGTTGCCGGCGCGTACGGTGACTAGAGTACCGTCTCCGACATCACCGAGGGCTACCACCTTGAACGCTACTGGTAACGTTTTGTTCGAGCGCCAGTGCGGTGGTAAAACGGTGCAAACGAAGTGCGGACTGCCTGTCCGCACTAGTTCTCCGGGGTGCTCGGACAAAAAGTCGCCTAACGTTCTCTCTGCGAGGATGTCCGACGTCATCTTCGTGTACGTCTCATGGAGCAGTGTCGAGCTGGTGTCGGGCGACACGGCGCCACTCGACGCGCCCGTCAGATGCATCCTCGACACCCGCGATCGCTGCGTGCTGCACATAGAGTCCACTGTGTTCACTGCGATCGCTACATCTCACTTCACATTGCACATCTCTTATACCCGCAGCAAAACAGATCGGACGTTTCCTAGCACTCTCATAGTAACACACAATGCGTACTATTATGTTTAGGAGAGCTCAGTGACGAGATGCGGTAGTACGTTGCTAGGGAACGAGCGCGTGGCCACTTGATGCGGTGACGTCACGCGGCGGCCTTGCCACACTTTTTTTCCCGGTGAATGAAAAGTTCGGCGGCGGGCGGGCGGGATGCGAGGGGCCGATTTTTTCCGGCGCAGAGGGTGACTCCCCCGCGCGACGAAAAACTTTTTTACTAGTTTCAATGACGCCACTGTTCGCGCTCGGTATTAACGCGATCGTATGCACGTTTTATTTCGATACCTATAACTTATTTTTATTTTACTCGAATTTATAGTTGTTTTGCGTATTTCGTAGATACGCGAATGTAGGCAAAATGCGTGCGACAGAGAGCACGGCCGAGTTGCGACTCGCGGCGCGTGGGGTTCGTGCTTTGCGGTGTCCGCCACCGGTGGCTATTAATACGCGGCGTACGTCCGCGCCCGTCGACTTCGGACAAAGTTTCGCGGGCGAGTCGGTGCGGCAGCGAGCGAGAGGCGGCGACGGCGCGGGCGCGGCGGGCGGCGGAGCGCACTTTGCGGTTGGGGTGGGTTGGGTTTAAAGCCGCCGAAGGATAAAACATACAAATAAACACGTGTTCGCGCCGGCGCGAGCGAGAGATGCGGCGCGACCGGGTGAGAAAGCGGGACGAAGTTGGCTCTTGCGGCATTTAGCAGCCGATCAGCCAGCCGGCACTCGCCTGCCGCAACCGAGTTTCAGCCGCTATTAGCGCCGCTGCTGGTGGTGCCGCTAACAACACTTTTCAAGCATCAAATCTTGTAACGTACAACTTTATGCCGTAAATATGAAGAGACTGTGATTTTTTACCAAATGTGTTTTCTTTTTCTCACACAGAACATTAAATACTAGTCGATTTCATTTTGAATAAAGTTTTTTGGTTTATAATATTCAAGTGAATGTGAATGATTTATTTTAGAAAATGTTTTTTTTGTGTCGAAACACAATAAAACAATTAAAATTTAAAATATTTCACATTTCTTTTAAATCAATAAGTACTGATAGTTTATAAACATTAAATTATGTCGACTAATGAAAATAATAAATATAAAGTTGCACAGTTCCCTTGAGATTGGTAAAAATTTTAAAAATAAAACTATAGGGCAATAATGATACTTAATTGGTATAATTAGTGTTCAATACAGCTTATCGGTGGTAGTGTTCGAATACGATGTCGATTATTCGAATAGTCCAGACTTCGTTCAGCAGTAGAGTGAATTTTATTTTGATAGTTTTGTTTAAATCCTGCATTCATCCCACAGTTCCCAACCCAAGTTCCAGCCTCCTACCGTTTCTGAAAAAGATTTGAAATATATAAATGTGACCATGAAATAGTTTACTCTTTGAGATAAGTAGGTTTTCCTTTGGTATGGGCAAGTTTGAAATATTGTATCCAGTAGTGCGACGGGAATCGAATTCGAATTGCTCGCGTACTATAATAATATAAGGCTAGCTAACAGCTCTCTTGTTTCGTTAATAAGAAATTCAAACTTAAGCAACTTAAAAGTAATTATTACGTGTTTTTATAAATTGTTAAAATACTATGAAATAGTATTGTAATATATAAAGTTAATCAAGCGTAAATAATTTTACCTGCCTTTTTATTTGAAGCAATGAACAAGCAAGACGAATTTAAAAAAAAACCACTAACAAGATGGTTTGCAAGTTCAAATCCGCTTTTGTGTCTCTCTAATAGTTAGTTTATTACACAGTTGTTATTCTGTTAAACCGGTGACGGAGCTCCATGTAAAGATTATTATTACCCTTTTTTACATTTTTGTAATACGGTACGCGAATTTGCACATTTATTTATCCTATACCTTTCTGTATATATATAATCGGAATCTCGGAAACGGCTCCAACGATTTTCATAAAATTTTGTGTGCAGGGAGTTTCGGGGGCAATAAATCGATCTAGCTAGGATTTATTTTTAGAAAATGTCTTTTTGTCCCTGTTTTTAGGCAATGAAAAACTGTTACAATATCGGTAGAATAAGAAGGTAAATTTTGACAATTTATTAATGATTACAAATAGCTTAATTGGTATATTGGGCGGTCACAAAATCGTAGTACCATAGTTCGAGCCCAGACCGACCGACCGACATTTTTTTCAAGTTTCTTTCTTTTTTGAGAAAATCTATTTTTTCGAACCTTCTTTTAGTATTTTTAAAAACACGAAAATTTAAATTAAACTAAAATTGCATGCATGATTTTTTATTCAAATAACCAGTTCAGTTTTTTCTATTATGTCGCTAAGATTAAAAAATATTATTCGTATTTCATCAGCATGTAATTTGTATCTAGATATAATTTCCAAAACACACGAATTAAAAAAAAACTGAGCGAAAAATACCGAACAAAGCTCGGTCAACCGGGTACTGATGTCTTAATAAAGTAAAATTGTGAAAGAAATGAAACTAATGGCGTTTTAAAATAGAATTCAAATTTAATTAAAATATTATTTGTAGATCAACTCGGGGCTCTATTTAAATATTTAATCTGTAAAATAAATAACTAAAATAAACGTTAACAGTGTTCGTGATCCCTAATAATCAGTATTTTTTATAGAAAAGGGTGCAAACGAGCATGCGGCTCACCTGATTTAATTGATTACCGCAGCCCAAGAACAACTGCAACACCAGGGGAATTGCAGGTGTGTTTCCGGCCTTTTAGAAATGAGTAAGCTCTTTTCTTGAATGTCCCTAAGTCGTATCGGTCCGGTAAATTCGCCGGTGGTAAACTATTCCACACAAAGGTCGTACACGGAAGAAAACTCTTAGTGAAACGTACAGTGGTGGACCGCCAAGCATCCAGATGGTGTTGATGATATCTGGAGTTTTGTCGCGATGTGTGTTCATGAAATTTGGCGGCTAGGATTAATTTGATCAATTTCTCAGAGCACACCCCGTGGTAGATGCGAAAGAAAATGCAAAGGGATGCAACATTTCTTCACATCGCCTGTGAAAGTAGCGACACAAATATATATAGCTGGTCTTTTCACAACTAGGCAATAGGTCTGCTCTACCTTCTAGGATTTAGTGAGGGTGGGTACCACACAATTGTCTATTTTTGATGTTTAGCAGCATTGTATGCAGTGGTGTGGCTTGTGCGATACGAAGAGCCGAGATTAAAGGCTATCATTTGATCTTAGTCCTCAAAAGTGACAATGTATGTAAAGACACGTGGTGCAAATCATCCGTGGCTAATAGTTCATTTTTGTTTTCTTTTTCTTTTAAAAACGTTACCTTACCCTAGTAATTTCTCATGTATCTTGGAGGCATTTCACATACATACTTTGTTCACGGGCAAATATTCAGATCAAGAACAAAAATTTGTAGGTAATACAAATAGTTTCTCTCCGTGTGGATTGGAACCCACGGCACACAAAGCCCCAGCAAAATGCTAAGCCATCGCTCTCCAATCGCTGTAACAGCCGTCAGTTCGACAGTTTTACAGTACAAGTTGGCGGTTGAATTCATGCTTTGCAAGAGAGTTGTAAACGAGCAAGCATGGTTGATTTCAGAACACAATAGGGACGTAGGTACACAGAATTTTGGGCGAAGTTCGTGGTAAACTATAAACGTATGTAGGTGGAGATCATACCCAAAAGTGAGGGGTGTCGCGTAATATAAAGTTAACGAAGCCTGTTAAGCGTTGCCGGGATACCCGGTGTGCCTTCTGCTTGCGAATTTAGTTTAGGTTTAGATTTTAAGCTTGTTACTCAAAGGGGTTGAAATGATATGCTTAATATCGTGTATAGAAGTGAAACGTCAATGTCAATATTATAATAAGTTTCCTAAATCTTAATAAATTGTGCATTAAGTAATGATATTAAATATTTATACTATACGTGGTATTTATGTTGTTATTGGGCTGTAAATTATGGCTTCAGTACGTAATGGTTGTTTCCACTGGTGAAAGACCACTGAGGCAGAAAAACACGAGCATCCTCCACCAAAATGGCACAAAAATGCTGCTTTTAGTAATGAAATACTAAAACCCTATTTTTACCGACTGAAAAAGGAAGCGGTATTCAATTCGACTGTATGTTTTTTTGTGTGTTACCTCGGACCTTTTATTCTGGGTGAAAAGTTTTGATGATTCTTTTTTTATTTGAAAGCTGGTGCTTCTCACGTGGTCCCATATAAAGTTCTGACCAGTAATTTTTGAGTTATCCTTAAATAATTCGTATTTAATTACTTCGATAACATTGATTCGGTCGTACTGAAGTCAATTGTAAAATTTTTTTAAAATTTTACCGCTTGTTCTAAATAGGGTAAACATTTGGATAAAAAATAAATTACACGTAAAAAAAAAGAGGCCCTAACAGTAATTACAACGATTTACGACACAGCACAAATAGATAGAGAGACACACTGCAGCTATGTTATGGTTATGGCAAGAATACATCGGCTCGACCGGGATCACGCTCACACATAACGCCAGCATAAAATAGCAGATTTATGCTGCTCTGTTTCGTACGGTGTGTGTGGAGAACCGGAGACCTTATTTACTGGAAACGAGGCATTACATCTTAGTCCTCAGGGTTGATAACGCATTTGCATTTTGATTCTTAATTGAGGATTAATGAAGATACAAATGGGTCACAGCATCCACTTAATATCAGGTAGATTGTGTTCTAAACTGTCAACATCTTCTATTAAAAAAATTTCGTAACAAAACTTATTAAAATCGACTTAGCGGTCAGCCACCGTAGACACGGTGTTCCGCGTATTATCGAGGATGTTCACCTGCAGAGTGAAAAAAAAACCTGTCTCATATCTTTAAACTTATAAAAAACATATACATAATAACATATAAAAAACATAGAGTCGAATTGTAAGCCTCCCTCTTTCTTAAATTTTTTTCGTTTTGAAATGTGAACTTTATTTGAAATTTGGTCGAAAACGATGAACATGTGGTTTCGAGTTCAAATATCGAGTCATATCAAAATCATTTATTTCGCAGCACGGTTCAGAAATCTGGCGTTGTTTAACCCCCGTGCTTCGTAAAGCAGTTAAAGCATTTGGTCCTGCGCCTGATCTCTTACCAGTCGTGTTAGATTGTTGCGCACTCGTACTATGAGAGTGGGTGAATAGAGAGTGCACCTGTGCTTGTACACACATCATGTCCGCGCGTCGTAATGGAAATTCGGTTCGAATGAAATTACTTCATATGGTTGCTTTGATTAATAATACAAAATGTTATTGTTTACAATAACATTTTGTATAAACAGTATAAAAATATAAAAAATATTAGCTTTAAATTGAGAACTAATACCAAAATTACATATTTCGAAATTTAAATCTAGTTCGGTCAAAAACTCTACATCTATTGGACCATACGAGAGGATAGGAGCTGTCCCAAGTAGTCTTAATGAGTGAGTGTAATTTGGTAGTCATCGTAGTAAAGTCTGTCCTCTCTCCATATGCCTTCAGTGGCTAAGATAGAGTCAATTGACTTAGAGCAGTATTTTTAATACGATGCTTCGCTCTCCCTTTCTTCCGCAGCTTTTAAGTGTTTAACGGTAGACTCGTGGACCGAT